ACTTAGAAGGAAAATGGAACACTATTAAAATGTCAAATGTCTAAAGGTAAGAGGGATTTATATCTGTAGATGGACAGTGCCAGAATGGGAAAAGAGTTCTTGACCTTTTCTAAAAGAGCACACTGATTAGAAAGTTAACAGAAAACAGCAAATACATGTGTGCCACTCGAAACGGAGAAATTCTATACGAAAATGCCTGCACAAACAAAGCTGCTTAGTGTTTATGTTGTCATTATTAAACCTCAGAGGTGAGGGATTTAGAGGTAGCAAAATCATCTCTAAATCTATGAAACCTGTGTTTATTTCATTTTACTAACGTTGTTTTCCCTTCAAAAGAAAAATCATTATTTACTACACACTTGTAGTGACATTTATAATCAAAGTGAAAACCAACAATAATCATCTGGAAGAACTACAATTGCATCAAATTTGCAGGACTTCTCAAAGAGGGAAAACAATGCTTCTCAAAAGGGAAGGGTCGGAGACAAACGACTTGGCACTTAAGTGTGATAGCTAATTTGTATAAGAAATAAAGAGAATTAGCAGTAATACTTTGTATTAGGGCATGAAGATTGGAAGAAGCCAGCAGAAAGGTATGAAGGAGGGAGGGGTTGCTAGCAGATGCAGTGAGGGTGAGCCCAGGAGGGGAGGGAAGGCAGTGGAGCAGCCGCGGCAAGAGGAGACTTAAGGAAGAGGTTGGGATGTTGGCTGGGAGGCTGAAAGGACTAAAAGAGAAAGTTGAGGGGCGGGAGCGAGCAGCAAGGGGGCTGGCTGGGAGGCTTGGGTACAGACAGCTAACTGAAGGACTTGGGGAGAACAAGCAAAGGCTGGGGCCTGGAGGGTAGAGTCTGGAGGGCTGCTCCGCACTTGTCTACAAGCTCACCTGTGCCGATCTGTGCCTTGAACCGATCCTGCAGCCGGGTGACCAGCGCGGACAGGATGTCCATGCCGAGAAGAACCACCTGCAACAGGAAACACCGGGACCCTGTTAACAGCGGGCCTGGGGCTCTGGGTTCTCGCCCGGCAGCTCCCGGGACGCCCCCACATTTCTGCTTCAGGGGATGTCCCAGAGCCCAGAGAGCACATGCCGACAGGCAAGATTAAATTGGTTATCAAGAGGAGGGCTGCTCTTGTACAAAAAGAGTCATTTACAGTCTTAATAGGAAACGGTCGGTGATGAGAAACGAAATAAAAAGTAGCCACATCCCGGCTCCAGTGTGGAAATAAACGCTAAAGCTCCACCCCCTGCTGGCCCCGCCCCAGCGAGGAGCACATATGCAAATTGTCTCAGGGCTGGCGCTTGGGCTTCTGGGTAAAACCGAGAGGCCTCTTCGCGCCCTCAGAAGCCTCAGAAAACAAGGAGTTGATCGTTTGCTTCCGGAGCTGTGGGCAACACAGGTACACCAGCTACCGGGCGGCTAGGCCGGGATTTGCAAATTAGTCACCACAACTCAACTTGGTATTGGCGCCTCCTGCTTCCAGCGCAGACACATACTCGCGTAACCATCCTTTTCTTGGGATTGCGTTACTGTCCAATGAACGTCTAGTGAGGACAGTACTGCTAACGCCTAGACAACACACTCGCATCAACTAGAGCTTTGCTTTAACTTGGTGCAATTTTTGGAAAAAGAAAAAAAAACCCCTTTTCCACGATTTTAGAGTTTAAAAATAGTTTGTACTATTACAGGGCATTAGCTGTCTCCTTTAACCAGTAGGTGGCGCACAAAACACACGCTTACGCTGCTGCTCCTAATGCTAACTTGTTTTAAAGTGTTCCTAGTCTCTTCTCCACAGTGAACATTTCAAATTTTAGTTAACTTGGCTTATGTGCTGCATGTATTCTTTCGCAAATAATTCCTTTCACAAATATGCCTCTGTACTTAAATGATTAGGCTAAGATCCATTGCACCTTTTTCAGTAAGAAGCAGTTTGGCATTGTGCAACTTTATTAAACATGGTTCAAAAATATAGCTGAAGCACAGTCCAGTGCTCATCCAAAAAAACAAATGAATAAGATTCAGGAAATAATAATTATCCTAAAATTACATTAGGTAATGGTAATTATGATCCCTTGCATCTGCCTGGCCCTGTGTTTTGCACCTAGTACGAAGAGCAAAAACTGCAGACTTTTTCATTCATCTTTGAATCCACTGCTTCAAAACTGAAGGAATCAAAATTTGCCCAAAAATCAGCCCAATATGTAAACTGTTCTTGCAAGGGATTGGAAAGTTGAGGATTTCAAAGAAAATAACTTTAAATGTGTTTAAGAGTAGTTTGTTGACAGTTTTTTTTTTTAATATGTACTGGTATAAACCACATTAATGACTTTACTCATGAGCTAGCGGATCAGGTATCACATTTTGACCATTCAAAGAGTACAGTATGGAAGTAGAGAGGAGACCCTCAACTTTACATGACAAACATTACCTCAGCCAGAAGATCAAAGTCAACATCAACAGTCATAAATCATGTTAATAGTGTGTATACTGGATACGATGTGATTAAAATGGCACTTTCCTCTTCAAAACCCATAAGTCCAGTCTAATCATAACAGAAATATGAAATTCCAATAGAGGGACATTCTACAAAATATCTGACCAGTACTCCTTAAAACCATCAAAGTTATCAAAAACAAGGGAAGTCAGAAATTGACACAACAATTAAATATAATGTGGCATCTTGGATGTGACCCTGGACCAGATAAAGGATAAAACCTAAACTATGGCCTTAGTTAATAATAATGTATTGATATTGGCTTATTTATTTTAACAAATATACCATGCTATTGTTAGATGTCAATAATAGAGAGACTGGGTGTGGGGTACACGGGCACTCTGTAATATCTTCACAATTTTTCTGTAAATCCAAAACTGTTCTAAAAATTAAAATTTATTTTTTAAATAGAACAGCCTATCAATTAATTGGAATTGGCTTTTCCCTAATGAAATCCTAAGTATCAGATGGCCACATTATTGGTTTGGGTGGGAGTGTTATTCATTACAGAAATACTAATAATGCTGCCTTCACTTCTCACCACATCCCTTCATAATTCATTCAAGACTAAGATGTAAGGAGCCTATTTTCAGATATGACAGTCCATGTCAGTTAACCTACCCATGGAACTTGGGGGAACACAGACTTTAAGCTTTTCCAGGAGGGGGATCAGAGGTTTACCTTGGTAGGTCTGATCAGAACAAATCTAGCTAAAACCCTAGACTACAAAATCTCAAAAAAGTCTTGCCCAGATAGACTAGGGAGTCCAGAGACTCTCTCTAAGACTTGGTTGGCAAAGGACAGAACACAGTCTCAGGCACCTTCACAGCAGAATAAATAACTGGTTGTTAAAAGGAAGCAGAGGGATTCATATGTGGTCTAATTCACCCTCAGTCACAGTCCCAGTGGGCAAGGAAGGGAATCAAACCCATGAATGTTTATCTTCACAGCCCAGTCCCTTCTCCCATGTTTCCATTTCCCTACCGAAGGGGATAAATGAAGTCATTGCCCAGAAGACCACTCTACTTATTAGCTGTGAAGCCTCTCTGTGCTTCAGTTTCCTCACTTTTAAAATGAGGGAAACAGTAACAGCTATCTCATAGCTAACTGTGTGCATATGAAATGCTTGAGATAGTGCCTGATGCATAGTATGGGCAAGACTACACACATGCTGGCTGTTATCACCAGATCACCGTCATTGCCATTACTATGACAATAGATACTAATCGAAGATCCCATAGTGGCCTATCATTACTGAGGACAAGGGGATAGGGTGGCAGAGAAGGCTTCCCAGAAAGGATTACAGTGCATGATACAGTTTTGAAAAATTTGCCTCACACCAAAGAAAGAGAAGACGTTTAAGCATAGGGAAGAGCTCATGCAAAAGTGGGAGGAATGAGACAGCTGCCAGGGATGGGGAAAGCGCACAGAGCAGAATAAGACTGGTAAATCACAGGGGAGGCAGCTCCAGAAGGCTCTCAGGCAAGTCTTGAAGATACTGGAGAAGGCTACTGAAGAGTTGTCATGGTAAAGTAGGAGTGACCAGAGAGCTGGAGCTTTTAGGGCACTGTGACCACCATGGGGAAGATGGCCTGGGAAAGAGAGAGCAGAGGCAGGGAGGCAGTCAGGCTCCCACACAGCACTTACTGCCTTGAGTTTTCAATAAGGTATTAACTGCATTACAATTGAGTGCCTCCTCCAATATTCTACTAATTTTCTGAGTTTATGCTTGTTTCCCCAGCTAAACTCCTTGAATATAAGGAACACTATGCCTTATAGACCCCAAATTTTCTTAATACATAGCACAATTCTGGGTACATGGCAGGTGATCAATAAACTCCTTCTTCATTGACTTGTAATAAATTACTCTGTAACAGATGCATTCTCAAGATCCAACACAGTTCCTTTATCCTACAACTTTAAAAAAGATATATTATTTTTAGGTGAGGCAACCCTTGGTTGACCTCTCAGATTGTAAGGCCCTTGTCAGTTTACAATTTCTTATTTTTTATTTTTTTACGCCTATAGCACCTGGTCTTCCTAGGTGGTCTCCCATACAAGTACTAACCAGGCCTGACCCTGCTTAAGCTTCCGAGATCAGAAGGGATCAGGCTTATTCAGGGTGGCAATGGCCATAGACTAAAAAGATATGTTTAAAAGGAGATAATAATGGCTCACTAACTCGGACTAACCCATCCGCTCAAAACAATTAAAAAATGCTGGATATAATATAAAAGAACATCTACTTGAAGACATCAGAGAACTAAGAAGGCACAAAGGAATTATCAGGTTACAAAATGTAAGAAAACTAAAATTCAAAGACATAAGCCTACAGCAAATGGTTCTCTCTTGCCTTGGGGCCATTTCTACACTGAAAAGGGGCAACTAAGACACTGAGAATTGTTTTTGATAATCACATGGGTCTAGGAGAACAAAGGTGGGATTCCAAAGCCCTCAAAGACTGGTGGCCCCGGGAACCACCTCCACTGGGCCTGGAAATCCAAAAGGCTATAACTTAGGGGAGTGGATTAGAATTAACATAGCCTTCAAATGGACCAGACCAGCTTCCAAGAAACTAGGTGGCCCAGAAAAGTATCAGTCACTGACATCAGATGAAAGAGAGCTTAGACTGCTGGGCCCTAAAACCCCTGCCAATAAAAACACAAATCATTCCTGGATAAAGCGAACATCTTCCTAATCTAGTCCTCAATTTACTTTTATAAACAATTTTCAAATACAATGTACAAAACAAAGCCAAAGATAATCAGGCACACAGGACAACTATAAATAAAAACTGTAAATAAAAACAACTATAAATAGAAACAAAGGCCCAAATGAACTATGCATCTAAGATTATAAAAAGATGTTAAAATAACTGTTCTTACTATGTATAAGAAGATAAAACACATGACTACATTTGTGGGGCAGATATGACAACTTTTAAAAAGTGATATACATTTTTAAAAGACCAAATAATACAATATCCAAAATTAAGTACTCAATAGATCTGCTGCACCCTGGATATAGATGAAGAGAGAATTAAACAGGAAACCAGGCCTGTAGAGAAAAAAATCCAGAATGAAGCAGAGAGGAAAAAGGATTTTATATTCAAAACAGTAGGTAAGAAATAAGGATAGAAAGAACTAGCATAAGTATAATTGGAGTTTGAAAAGGAGAGATCAGTCACAACAGGTAAAAAGCAATAGCTCACCCATCTGGATCACTATTATTGGGGGAAAAAAAAAAAACAAGTGTTGGTGATGATGCAGAGAAACCAGAACTTCTGTGCCTTGCTGGTAAGAACGTAAAACAGTGTAGCTACTGTGGCAACTGATATGGTGGTTTCTCAAAAAATTAAATATAGAATTACCATATGATCCAGCATCTCCATTTCTGGGTATATACCCAAAGATATGACTCTAACTGATATCTGCACACCCATGTTCCTCACAGCATCATCCACAACAGC